ACACACTCTCACACACACACCTGCACCTCCGCGGACCCGCACATCACATGGACACACACACTCTCACACACATCACGCACACTCGCGCACACACACACACACACCTGCACCTCCGCGGACCTGCACATCACACGCTCACACACACTCACTCACACACACACACACTCACACCTGCACCTCCACGGACCCGCACATCACATGCTCACACACACACTCACACCTGCACCTCTGCAGACCCGCACATCACACGGACACACACACACGCTCTCACACACATCACACTTGCACACACACACCTGCACCTCCGCGGACCCACACACACACACACACACACAGTCACACGCACACACCTGCACCTCCGCGGATGCCCACAGAGAGGTACTTTAAACACAGTGGAGGAGCAGGGGTGAAGCCTTTCGCTCTCACTGGAGGCTGGGGGGGTGCGGGGCGGGGGCGGGCAGGGGCAGAGATGACCTGAGAGTGGCCAGGGGGCGGAAGCCACCGAGGGCCAGCGTGCACGGAGACCAGACCTTGCTTTCTCGGGGACCTGAGCAGCCGCGACTCTGGTCAGTTGTCACCTGTGCTCGAGCTCCCCACGCCGGGTCCAGAATGAGGGGGACGGGCGTGGCCGTGGGGTCCGCACCGGGAGCTCGGTGCCGCGTGCACTTGGAGAGCACGGCTGTCGGTGACTCTTCCCCGCAGACTGAGGAGCGTCAAGATGGAGCAGAGGAAGCTTAGCGACCAGGCCAACACCCTGGTGGACCTCTCCAAGGTGAGTGGCGGGACGCGGCGGCACGTGGGGACGCCCTCTCCGAGGTGACTGGCGGCACGTGGGGACGCCACCAGAGTTCCCGGGTGTGGCCGTGAGGACCCGGCCAGGAGCCGGCCGCTCGGTGCTCGGGGACCGCAGACGACGTCCGCGTGTCTGTCAGCTGCACGGCAAGGGCCCAGGGCGACGCGCACCGACGGGGACGCCCGAGACGCCGGTGGCCACGCGCCAGGTCACACGGCTATGACTGGGAATTCGTTTTCCTGCCTCCTCGAATCCCCCCAGACCAGCCTTTCTGGCCCCAGACGGGGGGCGGGGGGGGGTCTCTCTACTTCTCAAGAGGCGGACCACTCACGGCCAGCCTGAAGCTGCCGGGGACCCGCCCAGCGCCACGCGGGAAGGGCCCGACAGCGTCACCCAAGAGGTCCTCCCGCGAGCAGCAGGGTCTCCGGCCCCACCCGTCGCCTGGCGGGACACAGCGTGGCGGACGTCCGACTGGGAACAGCAGACCAACCGACCTTCCCGCCCGCGCCGGTTGAACGCCGCCCGCCGCGTCTCCGGGAGCCGGGAGCCGGAGCCGGGCCCAGGGAGGGGCAGGCCCGGGGAGGGAAGCCCCTCGGGGAGCTAAACCGTCAGTGACGAAGGAAGGACGGGTGTGCGGGGAGGGGCTGAGGGAGGCCTCGGCGGCGCTGCGTGGGGCAGGGGTGAGGCCGGGAGAGAGGGGCTCTGGCTCCCCCCTCTACCCCCCCCCAGGAGACCCACCCAAGGCCCCGGCGGCAGCAGCCAGTCACCGGAGCCGGGGGCACCGTAGCGCCGCGTCCTCTCAGCTGGCCGCCTTCCCACCCCTGCCCTCTGGTCCCAAGATGAGGAAAAGGGGCACGTGGCCTCGGGACGTGATGGGCTGGCGGCTGGAGGACCTGGGTCTTTGTTCGTTGGCTTCGCTTTCTTCAATCAACGCGTGCAGATAATCCCTAATGTCTGAGGCTCAAGCGATCAGACGAGATGCTGTCTGTGCGGATGCTTCGTGAAGTGTCGGCAGGGTTTGCAGAAGGCCGTTCTCATTCTGACGCAGAGGCGAGGCCGAGACTCCAAGGAGGCTCATCGGGCCCTGCAGGCAAATAAACGTGCCGGAAACAGCGTGCATCTCCAGGAGGTTCTGGATCGTTCATTGGTGACGTGCCGTCTCCTCTGGGGGCTCCCAGGCTGGGCTGCCTTCGTCCCGCCTCTGCACCGGCTCCTCCCGGGACCCTCAGCGTCCCCTTCCCCATCTCCTCTCCGGCCCTCAGACTTGGCCACCTGCCATTACTCTGCTCTTCCCGGTCACCTTGGTCCCCGCCCCCGTGGCCCAGGCACCAGGGTCTCTGCGTCTTGCTGGCCTAACTTGGAGTTTCAGACGAATGAGACCAGGATGTTACTGGCACATGACCAAGGGCCACATCGCCTGGGGGCAACCGCCAACCTGGCCCTCGGCCACGGCCACCATGGGGACTGGGAGCCACAGGGGCCGAGGGCTCTTGGGGCTCTCACTCCCAAGCCTGGTGTCACTTGTTCTGTTTTGTTTTTTTTTTTTTAATTTTTTAAGTTTTATTTATTTTGAGAGAGAGAGAGAGAGAGAGAGAGTGTGTGTGTGTGTGTGTGTGTGTGTGTGTGTGTGTGAGAGCAGGGGAGGGGCAGAGGGAGGGAGGGGCAGAGAGAGAATCCCAAGCAGACTCCTCACTGTCAGTGCAGAGCCCGACGTGGGGCTCCAACTCCCAAAACTGAGATCATGACCTGAGCTGAGATCAAGAGTGAAACACTTAACCGACAGAGCCATCCAGACGCCCCTGTCACTTGTTAATTTACTAAGAAATGTCGCTGTCGCATAGAGGAGTGTGTGACAGGCCCACTCAGGAAGCCACATTATGATCAGAAAGTGGCCTGATGAGGGAGATGTCCGGACCTCGGGGCATGACCGTGGGGCATGACCGTGGCTCAGGCTGGGGCCCACGTGGTTCGGGTGCAATGATGGGCTGGACTGGAGGGGGTAGGCGGGCCGGGTGGAACTTTGTGCTGGGGCGGCAGCACCCAGGTCTGTGGTCGGGCAGCAGGAGGGCGCGGCGGGGCCCCTGGGGGACACGGGGTCTCTGACACACGCCTGAGGCAGGAGGGAAAGGGTGGCCCAGCCTGAGCCCCGTTTGTTAGCTCTGCTCTGACCGTCTTACGACTTTCCTCTGAGGAGCAAGCTTATTTGATGGCTCTTGAGTGTCACTTGATTTTCAGCTCCCTGGGGGCTCCCCTCTTTGCCCCCTGTTCCCACGGCCTCCTTCGGGGTTCGTTCACAGGCAGCCCCGGGCTGGGGCCCTCGCGGTCTTCTTCCCTTGCTTCCAGACACTCTGGTCTCGGTGGTAAACGCTGAGGAAACTTCTAGGTACACGGGGATAATCTGTGCTGTGAACTGTGTCCCACCACGTGCACCAGACATCCACCCCCCACCCCGTCCAGGACTGTTTGTGGAGCTTCTCCCACGTGCCAGGGGCTGGTTTAGGCCCTTGAGACACATCGGGGAGCCCACCAGAGAAGGGTCCCTGCCCTGGAGCCTCCCTCCCAGTGGGTGACACAGTGGGTGATGCAGACAAGGACAGACACTCAGGGGTAAGAAGTGGGCTAGCGCCACAGAAGGTGGTACGAAAGGGGACGGGAGCAGGTGGGCAGGACCTGGAGCGGGCGTGGGGCGGGGCTGCGCCGTGAAGCGGGGGCGGGACACAGGGCAGGTCGAGGGGCTCCGGGAGGCTTCCTGGGGGGCCCGATCGCGAGTAAAGGAGACAGGGCAGGTCGGAGGCAGACTTTGAACCGTGGCAGATGGACAAAGGCCTCAGCCGGCCCTTGGGGGTGGGGGGGGGGGGGCGGACAAGGCGGCACCCCTCCCCACTGCCCGGGCAGGGGAGGGGCTGCGACCCCATGAGGAACTCCGCCTGGCCGCGGGCGACCCAGGGAGGGGTTAGGTCCCTCACCCGACACCCACCACTCTGCTGGCCGCGGTGCTGGGAGCAGCCGGGGCCAGGGTGCGGGGCCACGTGCAGTTATTAACTCCTGCTCGATAAGGAGCCCACCGTTCAGAGGGTCCCAGGGCCTGCCGCCGGGCTGCAGACTCGTGCTTGGACCGTGGCCCCGCCCGCTGCCCTGTCTTTGACCGTCAGGCTCCCGCAGCCTCTGAGCGGAGCGGTCGGGTCAGCGAGGGCCCGAAGACGGTCCGGAGACTCCCCGCTCTGAGAAACAGTAGCTCTTTCCCCATTAAACGCATTTCCTAACGGGCTGTCGCCGTTCCCACGCGGCGCGTCGGTGCTCGGCGCGCCCGCACCTCCAGGTCTCCGGAAGGTAAGCACTTGTCCGTGGTCGGCCGGACCGGACGCGCTGGTGCGGGCGTTGCCCCAAGGCGACCTGGGAGCGTCGGTTCTGCCGCAGCCCCCGGGCCGACCCACCCGTGCCGACCCGTGCCCGTCTCTCTGTCCAGATGCAGAACGTCATGTACGACCTGATCACGGAGCTCAACGACCGCAGCGAAGACCTGGAGAAGCAGATCGCCAGCCTGGAGTCCAAGCTGGAGCACCTGGCGGCCGGCTTCAGCTCCCTGCCCCTCCTCATCGCCGACGCGCTCCGCCAGCAGCAGCAGCTCCTGTCTGCCCTCGCCGAGGCCCGGGTTGGCGCGGCGGGCACCCCGCACACGCCCCCGCCCTCCGACAGCCCCCTCGGGGTCAGCTCCGCCTCCTTCCCGACCCCGTACACGAGCTCCAGCAGCTGCTAAATGAACGCCCGCTCCGGAAGCGGAACCCATAGGTCTTAAGATGCAAATCGACTCTGTCCTGGTCACTGCGCCATCAAGGAACAATCAGACCAGGGAGCGCAAAGAAGAGAGACCAGCTAATTAAGTAGCTCCCGTTCGTTCGGCGTGCTTGGTTGGATACGCCTGGAAACCAGAAATCTAATCTCTGTTTAGGTGCCTCCACTTGGGAGCGGGAAGACGGGGGGACAGGAAGCGGTGGCGCAGAACAGAAATCCACGCGCGATCTCCGGTCTCGCGCGGGAGCGGGGGTGGGGGGCAGACAGGTGCACGGAAGGGGCCAACGGGGAAGGAGCCCAGACGAGGGTCCCCCGGGGGCGGTGTCAGGCTTGGGCGTGGGCTCCTCACCGGGTTCCTGGGCACACCCCTCTCCTTGCCTCTGGATGACACTGGCCAAAACAGGCGCTGTCTCCTCTCATGCCGGAGTCATAAAACCCAATTTAGACAAAAAAAAAAAAGTAAAAAGCCAGATTTTCCATCCAATATGAATACCCATATAAACCTGTGTGTTTGCACATCTGTGCAACGCACACACCCCACATTCAACCCAGGTCTTTTCTCGTTTGAACTTGACCCACTAGAAAGGGACCCGGTACCTTACTGTGCACACAGTAGGCGCTCTGTAATGCACGTGGAGTTGGCTTGAATCTGAATGTGGGTGCTTTCAGCTCAGGGGGTTTGCTAGTGTCGGGCATATTCTGAGCTTCCCTAAAGACGCAGGCTAGAGAGGGCACCTCACCCTGGGGGCGCACCCCGCTTGCTTGGCTAGAGACGAACGCCCAGCCAGACTTGTTGGCATTCCGGAGGGATGAGCAGTCTTCTAAAAACAACAGCCCCACAGAGTTTCCTCCGTGTATCTGAGCCAGCCGTGTTCCCATGGAGCACGTGAGGGGAGGGCACGGGGTCCCTGCACGTGGGCGCGCGCACACGCCAGCAGGTGCAGCCCAGTGACACCTGAGTGAGGACCAGCACGTCTGGGGCTTTGCTCGGCTGCGTCCACGCAGCTGCAGGGCTCCAGCCCCAGGTGTCAGGAGCGCAAAGGGGCCCAAGTCCCTACCTGGGGGCCCCACCGAGCTGGAAGAAGTGGAGGGGGGGCCCGTGGTCCCTTCTACCTGGACTGAGACCGCCTCAGGGCGAAAGGTTCGGAGAAGAACGGGGCCCTCAGGGAGCCCTGTGGGCCGGGACAGATGACGCGGGCCTGTCAGCAGCCTGTTCCGCGCCATGGTGGTCTTGGTGCCAAAACTACTCGAATGTGTCTCAAACCCCAAGAAACTTGAGGAGCGTGAAGACCCAGTGTCGTGACGGGCGCTGGGAGGCGAGGCGCGTGGACGCGGTCCCTTACTACTCTGTGTCTGGCCACCACCCGTGTGCTGTGACGCAGCCGTCACGTGCCCCGTCACCGCTCCCGTCGTGAGGTCCTCGACTTGGGCTGCGGGGCGGCGAACGACACGGTTCGCGGTATCCCGTCTGTTCAGGGAAGGGTGTCATTTGCGAACGGTCGGCCTCCCTTTGCGCAGGACATTGTCACGTCTCTGACGTCCCGACATCAACTGGGCCAGGCCTTCTAGGGACAAGGGAGTCACTAGATGGCAGGAGCGGGTGACCCTGGAACCGGGCGGGATCGGGCGTCTTGCTGACCTTCCCCTTTTCTCTCTTTCTGTTGCTGCCGTTTTACCTAAACGGGCTCGTTCTCCGCGTGGTACCCGGAGAACACGTCCGTTGGCTGTTTTGCGTATCACACCTGCCGCCCCTGCTGTTGGCTCTTTATTTTGCTACTTGTCCTTTCAACTGTCAGTCATCCGACAGATCACCCTCCTTTTTCGTGTCCCAAGAATGGTGCTCCTGTTCTCAGTGGCAGTGCAGCCGAGCATAGAAACGGGTGTGGAGGCAGATGAACTAACCATGCGGTTTCTTTACGGCGTTAATTCCACTCACAAGGTGGAGACCGCGTCCGCCACGCTGCGCGCTCCAGCCCCGGTCGCTGACCGACGGTCCCCGCCCGTTGCCTCCTGCTCGCCCTTTCCATTCCGCTGTGACCCATGACGCGTGTGCGCACGTTCACGCTCACAGGGGGTTAGTCTTAACTTCAAACAAATGGCACGCAAGATTCCACTGCCACCCCCCTGCGCAGACCGCCGTTGAGCCATCGAGGTCTGCGGGTGATTCTTCAACCCCTCACTAACGCGGTGCACCGAAATGAACGCCAAAGACCAAGCTGGCGACACTGGTAAAGAGGGGCTGGAGTCCTCTCCGGAAGCGGAGGCCACCGCCCCCCGGAAACACAGGGGCGTCTGGGGCAGGACTTGAGCTCACGGCAGTGCAGTAGCCGTGTGGAGTTTTCTTCCTTGGCACCGTGCCCAGTCTCCAAAAACGATCCAGTCTTTGCCAATCTTGTGACCGTGAACGGGAGGGCACATCCCTGACGGAGCCCCTCAGCTTCGTGTGGGGAAGGTATCCGCTCTCCTGCGAGTGCAATCGACCTTGATGACCTCAGTATTGATCATCCAAAGTGTTGTTCCCCCCCCCCCCCCGCCGGTTTCCTCCCCGTAGCCTGCCTTGTGGCCAATCCCGCTGTGCCTCAGCGTCACAGACAGATGGGACCAGGTAGCGGGTGATCGCTGTGCCTTCTCGTTCCCTCGTTCCGAGTCTGGTGGCAGTGGAGATTTAATTGTCTGCTGGAGGATCAGCTGTGTGAACTAACGTAAAACTCTCACTCACAATGACCTCACCCGAATGCTGAACTGAGTTCTGCCCACTCGCGGAAGGCCGACCCAATGGCAGAGCCCTCCTATACCTTTTCTGATAACTCAGTGCCAGATAAAATACCTACGAGTCCCTAAAATATCCAGACACTTGAATTAAAACTCCAGAGCCACCCCCCCCATCACTTAAGCCATATTGTAGCCTCATGTGCTATAAGGTCAGGGACGGACTGTGATTCTCTAAGACCGCTGGTCTCTGTGGAATTCCGGGACGTGGCGTCAGTGGGCAAATTCTACCAGACTCGGGGCTCGCTCCTCCTCAGACTGAAGTCCCAATAAAAATCTGCCCCTTTGGGATCGGAGGCCACGACCTCAGCAAATTGTCACAAAGCGTCTGAACTGCTCTTCCTGTCCTCGCGACGTGCAACGTCATGACGTGATATCTCTGAAAATGCTTAACGCCACTCGAGGGAACGAGGGCGGTGAGGCCCTGGGTCGTGGCTACCTTCCACCCTCAGCGGGTGCCGGGCGCGTAGCGGCGACTTCATAAATTAGGAGGCACAGAGGACGCCCGCGCCAGCCAGTCTCGAGTGAGTCCGGACAGCTGCCGCTTAAAGGCCAAGAAGGAACAGCGTTGAAGAAATAATGATTCTGATACATTTGAGGAATCCCCCCTCAGAGTTCCAGTGATCTCCATGTGGATGAAGGAGAGGAACAGGAAGAAAGCTAGAGATACAGGATCGGAGTAATTAAGTTCCAATGCTGGACCCATGCCTTTGGCCAACTAATGTCACCACCTCACACCTCGGTTTCTCTGTGCTTAAAGGGAAGTCGATACGTAGCTCCCCTAAGTACAAAGTACTGCGTAGGTTTTACGACAGCAGCAGCCACACCGGGTCCCGTCGAGCCCACGCTTGGGAGTTGCGTGCGACTGTGCGCGAGAGTCACTAGAAAGCAATGAGGACACCTCACCTGGGAAGGGAAATTAGCGGGAGGGACCCGGGACTGGCACACGGGCCCCGGCTCCTCCCCCACCCAGGACCAGTGTTTCACCCCAGACCGCAGGCGTCGCAGCCGAGATTCTGGGAAGTCCTTGCACCACCAGTACGTTACTGCTTTAAATCCCGGCGTGCGTCCCCACTCCCCGGCACTCCTCCCGCTTCCCCAACAGTGGCTCCGAAGCGGAGTCAGGCTGGCCGGTGGCCATGATGCCGCCCCAGGAACTCGACGACGCTGCCCCCGCACCTCACGCGGGCGTCAGGTGGCCTCCAGCGTGGCGACCGGCGCAGTGATGCCCTAGACATCGTCCCTTCCTTCTCTGCTGCCACCAAAGGAAACCCCGAGTGAGATTGGGGCCATTGATGGCGCCAGGCGAGGGTGTCCCAGGGGCCCGGCTGGACCACCAGCCCCCGGCCGGCTAGTAGAGGCGAGTGCACTTCGCCTGGGCCGCACGGGTGGAAGTTAACGTTAAGTTCCCGTCAGACAGGTGACACGTAGGGTTTTTGCCGAGATAGGTGGAAACGGCACTCAGCGCAGGGGAGTGTGAGCGCAGGGGAGTGTGAGCACACACAGAGAGGAGAGGAGCTGTGACTATCCCTGGAAACGCCCCGCATGGGCTGGAGTTCCTTCTGAACAAAACCGTCATCGAAGCTCCAACGTCTGACCTTCACGCCCAGGTGCCAAGTGTCGAGTGACGGTTGTTTACGTGCCTGAGAAGCGCATTCTGGAAGCCGCCTCTTGGGCCGGACCGTGTGTTGAAACTAAAAAAGTGTCGTGACCAATCAAGCTGATGGAGGAAAAGCACAAAATTTAACACCAACCCGTAGTTAGGATCCCAAAGAAATGCTGAATTTATAGCCAAAAAAAAAAAAAAAATCAGTGACAAATCCAGTATGACTGTGACGGGAGCAGCCGTGTTCCCAGAGGAAGGACAGCCTCCGGCCGTGTCGAACAGTCCCAGCCAGGACCCAGCCACCTTCGTCAGAGGTTTTAATGGCGCCACTACTCACTCCGGTCCCAGACTCCGCGTCGTGCACCAAACAGAAGAGGAGACGAGAGAGCGGCAGGATTTAGCGGAGGGAACACGTTCGTGGCCGACTTGGAAAGTGGAGTGTTTGTATTCAGAACCACGTGACCTTCAGTATGAATTTGCATCTTGCCTCTGTACTGCTGGCTATTTTTTAACGATAGGAGAAAGCATAAGTTTATTTTAAATATGAAATATATTGCTATATTATAAAATATATTGTAACTTTCAATTCACATTTTGTATCAAACTAGTCCTTGGCGGCCTGCGCGTCGCCCGCTCTCCCAACACCTGTTTCTGAGTGCACATCACTGTTAACGACCCCTGCCGACCCGGACCCACAGAGCCGTCACAGTCTGATTCTCCAAGACCTGCCCGCTGGAGACAAAAGAACCCTGTTCCAAGCTTAGAGGAAAAATTCTACCCTAAATTCTATCAAGCCATTGCAGATGAGATTTTAAAAGCCATGACCCCCCTGGTAGCTGTGCCCAGCCAGTTCGAAAAATGCTCAGGTTTTTCTGCGTAAACGCAAAGACCCTGCTACGTAAATACGTAAACGATAGGGGTCTCAAACTCGGCCACCCGGCTTTGCCTTCAGGGGCGTCACAATCGGGTCCAGGAAGAGTCCTGTGCTCCTGTGACACAAGGCTCGAAATCCAGGCACTGTGAGCTTATCTGTGTCAGAGTCAGACCAGACCTGGAGCTTCACTTCCGCAGGTGCAGTGAGACCCAGTGAGGCCCAGTGAGACCCAGTGAGGCCCAGTGAGGCCCAGTG